GCCAATCAATGTTTCTATCGCTCTCTCTCCCTCTCTCTTCCTCTCTCTAAAATCAATAAAGAAAAATAGAATAAAAATGAAGTTGAATATCTTTTCATACGTATGCCCTTGTATCATGGAGTGTCTGTTCAAGTATATTTTATTTGTTTTTCCTGTTGGTTTGTCTAGTCTTTTTTCTTATTGATTTATATAAATTATTTATGTATCCTGGATATAAATATTTGTTTTCAAATACATATATTGCTGTGGATCAAATTTCTTTTTGATGTTTATTTTAGCACATTTTAGAAGTGAACTAGATGTTTGGGGCTATATTTTCCAATGGGCATAAACCCATTCTTTAAGTGTTCAACAGTCAAGCATATACAACTCTTTATTGTGCTGCTATTTATATATGACATAGTACAAAACTTAGTGAACTATACAGTAACAAAGAAGAAAAGCATTGGAGAAAAGTCATATTATGGAAAGTGGAATCATTTATGTATTTGTGTTGTACACATCATTTTTTAAAAAGAACATTGTCTTATTTATGATGTTCTAAGGTAATGGCATATTCCACAGAGTGAATTTTTCCAAAATTGGTTGCATTTAAGGCAAATCTGAATTACCCATTTACCCAAATTTGAAATTAAACAATACAAAAGGAGTGATACTGTATTTTCATTTTTAAGTAAAAGGAATATCATAGTGTTAAAAGTCAATACATATGTTAAAAGCTTGCTGTTTAATGAATTGTGAACTCTGTTTAACATGACTTCCTTTGACTCTGCCATATTATCTGGCAAACGAATCTTTTGTCGCAATTCGTTCCCACTATGCAGAGTTGGAGTGATATCAGTTCACACAGATAAAATGCTACAGCCTTTTAACTAGACCAGTCCTCTTCAAGTCCCCTGACTTTGTAATTACCTAAAGGTAGTCAGGAGCTGAGTTCTAGCCCTGCTTCTGTCATTGGCCCACTTCCTGAATTTTATAATTCATTTAAACTAAATAGGCCACACTTTCTTAATAATAAAAATTGAAGGTTTGGGCTAGACGAAGGTCTCTCATACTCTCTGTGGCTCAGAGACCTGTTGTGAATATTCACTGGGGATGAGAATTTTGTGACTATCATATTCAGATAAGAGGATCACCATATATGATGTATGTACATGTATGTGAACCAGAATTCACTCGACTACCCATCATCTAATGATCAATTCAATGAGCAGAGAGAAATTAATTGAAAGAACTGGGGAGTGTTATTTTTATTGATCACGGTAACCATTTTCTAAGGACTGAGACCTTTATTACATGCAAAATTCCCACAGGACTGTATGGTGCCAAATAGTGCTTATTATAGTTGGTCAATTTGCATCTTGTCAGCAGTCTCCTCAACAGTGGATGTGAATTACTGTTTATTCACAGCTTTTTCAAAACCTGGAATTTTCTAATTAAAAAACATTTTTGGGTCAATTTTATGACCAAGAAATGATATCTGAAGATAGTTTGATTTATGCCTTTTCCTAAAAACTTGTAGGATTGAGGATCTTTTAACATAGGATATATATATATGTATATGTATATGTATATGTATATGTATATGTATATGTATATGTATATCTATATCTATGTAGATAGATACAGATATATTTTTTCTTTTTTTGAAAATGTTTTTTTTTTTTAATTTTTTTTGTTGTTGTTGTTGTTAGAGATGTTTCTCCATTTTTACCCCATTGGCTCCCCCCTCCCCCCTGCCCCACGCCCTGTCCCTGGCTTTGTTGTCTATGTCCATTGGTTATGCATACATGCATATAAGTTCTTTTATGAAACTACTATATAGTTCTTTTGCGATTTTCCTATTGTTAGATTTTTTAAAAAATATTGATTTATCAGAGTATTTTGTGTACCCTAAATTGTAGTCCTTTGTTGATTAATCTAGTATGAAAATATTTTCTCTCAATTTTCTTTAGATTCTTATTCCTTTTATGGTATTACTTTTATGAGTAGGCTTTCTTAATTTTAGTGTGATTGAATTTATCAACCTATTATTAGTGATTTTTAATGCCTGTTTAATAAATCCTTGTATACTTCAGTATCATAATTTCTTGTTTTATAAAAACTGTCAGCTTTGCATCACTGGTTTATATCCATAGTCAACGAAGAATTGATTTTTGTAAACAAAATAATGTAAAGAGCCATTTAACTTTATTCATATAGATAACCAGTTTTCCCAACATCATTTATTAATTTATGCTTTGCTTACTTATCTGGAGTGCTTGACTTGATATAAATCATTTTCATATATGTTTAAGATTATTTTTAGTTAGATTATCTTTATTCTCCCCTTTTGTGTGTGCTAATACATTACCTTAGTTATCATAATTTTCTAATAAATGTCCATCTTTAATTAGGAAAGTGTCTTTATTTTCTTACTCTGTCATATCTTGGCTATTTTAGGCTTAGTTTTTCCCATAGAGCTTATAGAATCAGCTTTTTATATTCATTTAAAAATTCATTGAGATTTATATTGAAAAATCATTGAAGCCGTATATCTATTTATATATTTAAAACATTGATTGTTCCCAGTACAATCTTTCTGAAATATCTTAAGACCAATAAACTTTAAAGATTGTTTTGATCTTTTAATTTTTATTTATTTTTAATCCTCATCCGAGGACCTTTTTCTGTTTATCTTCAGATAGAGTGAGAGGGAGAGGGAGAGAAATGGAGAGAGAGAGAAATATCCATTTGAGAGGGGTACATCGACTGGTTGCCTCTCGCATGACCCTGACCAGGGCCGAGCATGAACCACAACTGAGGTGCGTGCCCTTGGCCGGAATTGAACCCGTGACTCATTGATCCATGGGCCAACGCTCTACCACTGAGCCAAACAGGCCAGAGTTATTTTGATATTTTAATTTATACAATAATACTTAATAATATGATGTTATTTTTTCCCCCTGTGTATACTCTTTATAATGCTCATGTTTTTCTTGTCTTCCTCCATTAGCTAGGACTTCAAGTGTAGTGTGTTGATAATTATAGTGGGCTTCTTTGTTCTGTTTCTGACCTTAACAAAAATATTCTTGATTTCACAGTAAAGTATGACATATCCTATTTGTTTTAGATCATTTATCACATTTATCATATTAGGTAGGCAAGGAGAAAGATATCTACCATTTCTAGTGCCCACCAACTTTGCCAGATGCCTCTCTAGACATCTCCATTTATCCTGAAAGATTGTATCACTAACCATTTTAAGAAACTGAGATTTTAAAAGATACACAATTGCCCTCAGTGTAGTTAGACAGTGGCTGTGCTAGGATCTAAATTTATATTTTGGCTTGCTCCCCCCCCCCCCAAGTATATCAGAAATATTTAGCTGTGCTGGCTCCCAATATGAAGCCACTTGCCATATTGAACTAACCAGGGAAGCAGACACATGGCTGTAAACTTTAAGAGACAGAAATTAGGTTAGCATTGGTTCACTTCATTATCCTTGAAGACTAGTACTGCTTTAACACTTGGGAGGTGTTGAGCCAAGATTTTGAACGTATGAATGGGAAGGACCCTCCGTACTCTTTGGGTTGCCTTAGCTATGACTCAGGCTCAGAATGCGGTGGGTTTGCCCAGACCACTAGTCTTCACTAGTAGCTGACTACTAGGCAGTGACTGTTCTTCAGTGTCACACTCCTTTGAGAAAGTCCCTAGGTGCTCACTGTCTTACTTAGTGTCATGTGTTGGCTACTTATAGCCACCAATGTCACTTTCTACATCTAGGGAGTCAGGTAATTGGACCCTGGTGAGCTGAAACCTTGATATGAGCTCTTATGCAAAGACATGAGTTATTTGACTATGAAATGCAAAGAGCCCTGAAGTTAACACACACACACACACACACACACACACACACACACACTGTTGCCACCATTAGAGTGAGACTTCTTTTGGAATATGGACCCTCCACTGGGCATAGTAGTGATCCTATATTACCAGTGAAGTGAATTAAGATTCTTCAGTACCACTTGTAGTTACATGTTTATATTTTATCAGAAGCTGCTTCCAGACCATACCATCTCATTGTTCTTGGCACAATGCCATTATCACCCAGGATGTTGAGGGAGCTTTGGGCTCACCCTTTTCCTTTGGTTAAACTCATTTCATCAGTGGGAAAAGATGTTCTTTCCAAACAGCCACATTTCTGTTGGATCTCGCTTGTATCTTGTGGGATTCACATTTTTACTCCTAACTATGGTAAAGACCGAGATATATAGACAATTTTGAGACTTCATTTATATGCTATCCCCATGATGGTGCTTAAATTCCTACCAGTCTCATAGAAGCCAGCCCTGCCATCTGCTTGGTGGGATCAGGGAATGAGTCAACAACCCAGCTGACTCCATTACGTTTTCCGCCACTGCTCCCTTTATCCAGGGAGAAAACATGCATATGATCTATAGGAGATCTATTTGCTCCCAGACCAAATTCTAATTTTTTTTTTCTAGGCTTTCCCCTCACCAGATAATTTGTTATGGTTTCTCAGTGATGAACATGTTTGGTTCTTCACTGAGAAGATCTTTGAATATACATGTCTCACTGAAAATTAAAGTAATGCCTCCGATAGACAGGATGCTGCGAACACGGTGGCAGCCATTGTTGTCAGCAGAGCAGAACCATCCCAGATGCATTCACAGGACCCGATTCATGCCCTGCAGATACTGCAGGGCTACTTCTTTCTGATCAGAGCTCTTGTGGTTATACTTAAAAATTAATTGAATTTTCAAGAATGTCAGCTTCAGCCACCACAGCCAATGGCCCAATGGCTGAGGAGGTTTATTAAACAGTATATGCTGCCACCTACAGTACTGTTGGACTTTCTTTGACAGGGCTCTCGTCAGTCAGGAATGTTGATTAGCCTAAGAGTTCATTTGTAGACTGGTTCTTTTGTGTTGCGATCTGCTGATTTACATATTATATTGCTTTACTTATGCACGTATGTATCTGTTTTCCTCTAGGAAAAGAAGAATATATTGCCACGTTCAAGGGATCTGAATACTTCTGCTACGACTTGTCTCAAAACCCCATTCAAAGCAGCAGCGATGAAATAACTCTATCCTTTAAAACCCTTCAAAGGAATGGACTGATGCTTCACACTGGGAAGTCAGCTGATTATGTCAATCTTGCCCTGAAAAATGGAGCTGTCTCTCTGGTCATTAATTTGGGATCAGGGGCCTTTGAAGCACTAGTGGAGCCCGTGAATGGGAAGTTTAATGATAATGCCTGGCATGATGTGAAAGTCACCAGAAATCTGCGTCAGGTAACAGCGCAGTGGATAAGAGAGTAACTGGCTTTGTTTCTCGCTACAGCTGTGTGTGTGGTACTTGAAAACCCTAACAACATGACGTAGGGCTCCTCAGAGTCGCTTACACATTAGCAGTTTTTTTTTTTTTCTTTTGAGATGAATCTTCCTGCCATACTTGAGCAGGGGCATATCTAGAAAGTTCTGGGGGCCCAAAGGCTATTTTGATGCAGCGACATATGATAATTTCCCAGAGGGCTGCAAGGATATCTCTGCGACCTGCCCTTCCTGTGATGTGTGTGATTTTGTTGTGTTTTTATTTTATTTTTTTTTATTTTGTTTGATTTTAAATTATAGTTTTCATGGTGATCATTTGGAAGCATGCACATTGGGGTCATTAAATCACAGTTCCTTTTTTGTAGTCAATAAACATGTGTTTGTGACTTGGGATTATATTGATCCCTACTTCCTTCCCACCCCCACCTGTGAAACGGGGACAAGAAAACTTCCTGAGGGGGAAAGTGACTCTGGGAGTTTACATATCTCCCGAAGAGTCTGTTTATAAAGATATTTTTATTTTTAGCACAGACACTTTAAATTAAACCCCAAATGACTCCAGAAAGGCCAGTTTACATTCTAGGTGCCCATTTCTATTTAATTGCATTTAAAAAAAAATCTTGCAAAAGTCTATGTACTAGGAAAATATCAATTCTTTAGTAAATCTATGGGTCCACATATACTGTATGTTTTTAACTGAGACATATTATTACACCATATATATGTGTGTATACATATATATACATATACACATATATATATAAATATATATCAGAGATGAAAGTAAGTAGATTGTCCTTATTTATTGAACATGATAAGTTGATAAGTTTTGGTTATTATTTGAAATTTAATTAAATTACAATGTACCATTTTGTGAAGTGTTGACAGTGACTAATTTTTCTGCAGTACATGCTGATCTCAGAACTAATATCCTTAACATATGTGTTGTTTCTCTGAACAGTTGCAGAATGACCGGATTGTCTCTGGTTCTCCTTTACTAAAACAGCCCTCTCTCTGAGCTGTTAACTGTCTAACCTTTTCTTTCCCACTTCCGAAAGGCTTAACCTACCCAAGGTAGAGAAGCAAAGGTGGATTTTAAGAGTGCAGATACAGTCTAGCTAAGGCAGACAAGTAAAGCGGAAGGATTCTCGAGACTCCCCCAAAGACCTTTCAGAGGCCTGACTGGCGTGGGAGGGGCCCTGCATGCATCACACCTGTCTCGGGAGATGGTAGCCCACCATCAGGACAGCTATAGAACACGAATTTCCGACAAGTCTGTCTCTTTGGTTTTCCTTTTTTATTTCTTCTCTCAGATACTCACCAAGAGACCGGAGGCTCATTTGAGAGAAGCACAGAAGGAAGGGTGGGGCTTGAGGAGCCCACTTTCTAGATTTGCCTTTGCTCAGGTTACAAACCAAACTACGAATTGGTAGCTCAAAGGAAACCGTAGTTGTACAGCCGGGGTGCATGTGTGGCAGGACAGATTAAAAATAAATCCATTCTACTCATTTTGTGTGTCAGGATCTTTGCTTTGTTTCATTGCAGTAAACTGTGACCCTAAAGTCCATCAATATGACCGAAGGAAGTTTTGGAGTTGAGAAGGAGTCCTTGTATGCTGTAAAATTGAGTAGTAGGGCAATGCCAACCATTCTTATAAATTTGCTGGGTCTGGGGAGGGCCAGGGCGGGGGAGGGGTCACTTATGGGCTTAGCGCAGCAGTGGTCAGCTGATGAGCTTTAGGCCTTTGAATCCCTTTTAAACTTTCTAAATGTCTGTCAGATATACGCAGGGAGACAAAGGGAACATTGCCATATGTCTGTTTCTGTCTCGTAGCAAGTTATGAACAATACTGGCAGGAAAAATATTACCTCTGTGGGAGGCCTATTTGTTAGTCTGCTTTTTTCTTGTAAAGTTTTTTTGCCCTTTTTCTATGTTACTAACATGCTTAATAACTAACATGTCATTCATGGAATGTTTCATTCTACTAACCGTTACCTGAATCAAAAAATGTACTAACATGGTAGAGACCATCATATTTTTTAAGTAACGATCGTTATTCTGTTCACAGTTTTTAATTTCCTTTCTCCCCCCTTCTCCACAAAGCACTCAGGCATTGGACACGCTATGGTAAACAAACTACATTGTTCGGTAGATATCATTCTAATTGTTTCTTATTTTGGGTTTGCCGTGTGTTTTCTTTCTTTCTTTTAACTGTAGACATCATTAACAAAAGAGGAACTGCGGTTGGTACTCTTCTGCTTACTTTGACCTCCTTCTTTTCATCTGTTGTTGACCTCCTTATTTTTTACCTGTTCCTGTCAACTTCCGTTTTCCAACTCACCTGTAGGGGCATCGTTCACGTCTCGAACGTGTTGCATCCAGCTGTGGTTAACACGGGATAAGACTAAATGGTGGCTGGCCCGAGTGACCGCAGGCTCAGCCAGTCTCTAACCATCCATGAAGCATGGCATGCACACTTGATTTGGGAATGCTGCAGATGCCACACCCACCCATCTTTACGTCATCACAAAGCAGTTGTGTGGTTTTCCTTTGGTTCCCCCTGTCTCCTTTCCTCTCTGACCTGTGCTGTCCCTCCTGCATGTGCACATCCGCTGCCGCTGCCACGGGTTGTTTTGCCTCCCCGCCCCCTCGGCATGGACCAGGCATTGCATGACCAGCTGCTCCGTAGTGCCAAGAGTGACGTTGCTGGAAATAGCTTGTGCCTTTTCTGTTAACAAGGTGCACGTTGTGATTAGTTAATAACAGACGACTAAACTTTACTAATATGTACACCAGCAGCACTAACCTAGGAAGCATTTTACTAACACCATTTTTGTGTCTGCTAAATGACTTTTGAGTTGCCGTAGGGACGATGCTGACACTAGCTCAGGGATCAGATAACTCTAACTAGCTTAGCTCTCCGAGGGCCAGTTGACTAGAATCAAAGAATAAACCTCAAACAGACATGAAAATGGGTTCCGCCATAGGTCTAAAAATAAAAAATAAAAAAATAAAAACAGAAAAAAAAAAAGGCAAAAAAAAAAAAAAAAGGCAAAATGAAAAAATAAAACAAAACAAAACACAAAACAGGCATATCCCAGGATTACAGTATCTAGGTCTGAGTATAGCGTGTCCTTTCCCTGTGCTTTGTTATCTAGGTGACAATATCAGTGGATGGGATTCTTACCACAACGGGCTACACGCAAGAAGATTATACCATGCTGGGGTCTGACGACTTTTTCTATGTCGGAGGCAGTCCTAGCACAGCCGACCTCCCAGGGTCACCAGTCAGTAACAACTTTATGGGCTGTCTCAAAGAGGTAAATATCACTGTTACCAGAATCATTCCTAACTGCTGGTCTCATCCTTTCAGATCTGGACCCAGAGCAAGTTTGCTGAAGACCTGGTGTCTGTGGTGGAGTCAAATGACCCCACCTTAAATTCAATGTTCTATTGTTGTTTATATCTTTTGGGGGGAGGTGGGCAGCTCAGAGGACATTATGAAGGAATCAAGTTCCTCTTCTGTAGTAGCCTGTAAATAATTCACATTGAAGACTTGCAGGGGCAGTTGTGGAATAGCTAGAAAAGAAAATCAAACACAAAGAACTATTGTGTCTGGAATGAAGCTAAATGCTTTGTTCATTTTTACTTAAATGCCTTAGGTGTTATGCATATCGCACCTTCATAACTCGTTTGAGCCTTACAAGAAAAAAGAAGAAAAAAATTAGGCTACAGGAGAGAGACTATATGAAAAATGAATCTGAATGATGAAACAACTTTGTTACAATATAGTAAATGTGTTCTGAAGGAAGTAAAGCTGTTTCATCTGTGATCTGATGAGTTTACTTGATATTTACCTGACCAACACTATCAGGCTAAAAGATAATTGTCGGTTGTCTGTTGTAACATTTCCTGTTTGATAGGATTGGCCTTTGTTGGGGTATGAGGAGAGGAAGATCACAAAGTTCTTGAATTTCAACTCCTGTGAATATTTTCTGTAAGAGCTTCCTGTTTTCATTCAGGCTTAACTTGATTTCCTTTGGCTGCTGGAGCCAGAGGTTCCTCATGCATTGCTGAGCAGCTCTTTATGGTGTAGACCCCTAAAGTGTAAAGTTCAGTAACTGAACTTATTAATGATTCGCTGTAGGTGTTGTTGGTGAGCAGTGACATGCTTTTGTTAATACTAAAGGAAACATTCTAATCGTATACACTTGATTTGGGTAAGCATCAGTGAAAAACAACCGCTGCTGGAGTTATCCTTACTTGTCTTCCATTCATGTAAACTTACTGGGTGTTGCATTGCCCAGTATGTAGATGTACATAGAAGAGTCCTAAGGGGAATTCAAAATGCTGGAGTTTTAATAAATACAAGGAGATGTAGTTCTGACAGGCTGAACCTAATCATACTTTGTGGTGAGAAGGATCTATTGCCTCCCAGAGAATAACTTCTACTCTTTCAATATTAACTCAGACTCAGGACTGTGTTAATCTCTGTGGACATAATAAAATAGTGATAATAATAATAACAATAATAATGACATTTTTTGAGCTCTTATTTTGTGCCTGATGCTGTCCTAAGAGCTTTACAGGGATCTCTACAGCACAGGTAGTAATTATCTGCATTTTCAGACAAGGAAAGTAAGGTTCGGAACAGGTAAGTTTGTTGAGCAAGATGTCACATGAGAAGTATTGAGGCCTGTGGCTTAATCAAGGAAGTCTGATTTCAGAGTTTTTTGTGTTTTTAGCGACCATAATATACAGTGTCCCAACAAAAAAATGTATGGTAGGGTCCTTACTGTAGAACATTGTACAAAACCTTAAGTTTGCTACAAACGGAGAATTGTTTTTAGACATGTGCCATAGACTGTAAGAAACGGGGTGTTGAATTGTGTGGCCCAGTTACACCCGTTGAGGTACATAGAGAGTGAAATGAATGAGGGGATCTGGTAGACCAGGAAGATGCTCGGAAGAGTAAGTATGTGTGAGTCTTGAAGGATGACTCTGGTTTGGTTAGAATAGAAAGTATTTCAAGTTGGGGGAACATGGTAAAGCCCATAACTGGATTTCACAAAATGTCTGAAACCCCCTTTGGTGATGGGAATTGGGGTTGGGGAAAGAACTGCACCCCCACCCACCCACCCCATGTCCTCACTTTCACTCTCAAAAGGCCAGACTACAATCAGCCCCTGTGTCCTGCTTTATCTATAGACAGTTAGTCCTGCCATGGATTGGGAAAAGGAAAGGGAATCCATGGATCTCAAGCAGAATCTGGAATGTAGCTAAAGAGTCTTTTTGGGTATCCTATAAGAACATGAGGATTTCTGCAGTTATCACCTGAGTTCACATAAGCCTCATTGTCTCTCTGCAGTTCAGCATGAGGGAGGTGCTTTTTGTGTGTGCATGAAGCTACCGTGCATTGCCTTACACTAAAATTACAAATTCAGATTAATGTCTTTAATGCTTAAATGACAACGAGTAGTCCATACTCTTTGGAATTCATCTCTTTTCAATTGGTCTTTCAACTACATACACACAAAAACACTACAGCAAAAACAAGTTGAATGGTCTCCCGTGTGACATTTAATTGGTAGCTACTGAGTCCATGCAATGAAGATTCACTCACGCTATTATTGTCTTTATAGGTTTTGGATAGATAGCACACCTCTTTATGGATTCAGTACATCATCCCTCATCTCTCTTCCACTGCCTGGGGCGTGTGTTCAGAGCAAATGCTACAGTTGTTTCACGTGTAATCTCTGGCACTTTATTTCCTCCTGATACACGAGAGGGTGGAAGGGTGCAGGCACAACCAGCCTATCAGTCAAAACAGAGCTCACTTGAAGGGCTTTCAGATGGTTCATAGTATCCATCCGGGTCTGAATTACAATTTAGAATGCCCTGCTCTTCCTAAGTCTGAAATGAAATTGTGACAAAGTATCATAGTTGGAGGTGCAACACCTTGTTTCAGATAGCTAAGCCTTGTAGAATTACTGAAAAGAGAGGAACATGCCCATACCCATTCTCCCCACATCTCTCAACACTGAGCCCGGTAATCCCTCCTTAACTCCACTGGACTTTCTGCCCCATAGCACGTCGCATGTATAAAACCTTAATTATGGTTTCATTTATGGCTGGTAACATATTTATTTTCAATCTAGTGTGTAATCCATGTTGGTATGTCCATTCTTGGGGGAGATTCTCATAACACCTATCTGAAGTCATAGAAGAAATTTTGGAGTGTTAGAATAGAAAGGAGCCTGGAAATCTTTCTCCAAGTCCAACATCCTTCTCTTTGAAATGGGGAAACTGATCTAGAGAAGTTACATGACCCACAAAGAGCCATGAAGGGGTAACAGGACTAGAACACAGAATCCTGTCAGATAAAATGTAATTGGAACGTCCGGCTCTCTTTCCCTGTGATCCATGGCACGCAAGGTGCAGACATAGAGAAGGCCTAGCACCTTCATGTATTCACAGCTTTGCTCTTAATGGAGTAAAGTAGCCCGTGTGGCTCAGTTGTCCTGTGAACCAAAAGGTTGCTGGTTCAATTCCTTCCCTCTCTCTAAAAAATAATAATAATAATAATAATAAAGTTAAAAAAGAAATTACATAATAAAACAACCCATAATCTAATGCTCATTAGAAGCAGTTAGGACTTTATGTATATGGCATTTATAATACCTATTTGAAATGAGACTTGGCTTGCATGTAGAGTGGCCAGTCCTCATTAAGAATATTATTATTATTATTTGGGGGGGCAGATTTTCAGATGTCGAAATAAAGTAAAATTAGTTCAACAAAATCTTACCTAAACTTCATACGTTATACTTTGTTAAAAATGAGAGGAAACTTTGAATGGCCAGGAATTTATAATGGGGGATCAAAGTAGTTTTTTTCAATTTATATTTTCATTATAAATAAATGGAAAAAAACCTTGGAGAAATGTTTGAGCTCACTGAAAATTATTTTCAAAGGATATACATTTGAGAAATGCTGTAAATAGTAAATTACCATTTTGTACAGCCTGCATCTATGAAATTCCTGAACAATAATAGGTCTTTAAAAAATATGCTATTTCACCTGGCCAGTGTGGCTTAGGGGTTGAGCATCAACCCATGCACCAAGAGGTTGCTGGTTCGATTCCCTGTCAAGGCACATACCGAGGTTGTGGGCCTGATCCCCAGTGGGGAGCATGCAGGAGGCAGCCAATCAATATTCTCTCTCATCGATGTTTCTGACTCTCACTCTTTCTTCCTCTTTCTCTAAAATCAATACAGAAAAAAAAAAAAAGCTATTTAAATCTGATTTTTACAAAAGCAATACCAATGCTTTGGCAAGGAACATATTTTATATTTTAATTGTATTTTTTTATAATATTGAGCAAAAACTAAAATATATGTTGCTTAATATTGATTGATCATTTTCTATTTAATTTCATTTTTCAACAAGCAGTTTTGAGTGACTGCTGCACCAGGAGAGGGAATTGGTTGACCCTGCAGAAAGATAAATGTGTCTAAGTGAGACGCTTGCAGTCTGAGGACATCTACAGACCTGTCCATTCACAGACTATTTGGAAAACATTGCTCTGTACAAAAATATCCGAGGTGATTTCTAAGATGCTCATTTAAGATATATATATATTTTAATTTCCAGAGATGAAAATCTCACTAATACGCATTTCTTTCTCAATATGTTGGTCACGAGGACTTGGTGCTGTCAGTAAATGACTTACTGAATGAAGGGCCATGCTGCTCCCTCGTTAATCTTGCCTGAGACTCACTTGCTATATGCATTGCTTTGTGCCTCTAAAATGCTTTGAAACGTGCATTTTCCTCCTGTGGAGTGGAGAGTATTTAACATAGTTTGTTAGGAAGGAAATGAAACTGAAGAGGTATGAAAGGATTGCTTTCAATAAAACAGCATCGAGGCTTCTGTTTGAAGCTTGTTTTCAGCCGTATGTGCCTGCTGGCATTGTTGGAGCAGAGACACTGCCTGTGTGAGGCAGACTAGGATGCTGTCACTAAATCCTGCTTGGGATGAGTCTAAGGAAGGATTCTAACCTTTGAGACAGCATGCGGGGACCTGCAGAGTATTGTGCTGAGCGAAATAAACCAGTCAGAGAAAAATAAGTATCACACGATCTCACTTATATGTGGAATCTAATGTACAAAATAAACTGACAAACAAAATAGATCTAGAGACATGGAAGCAGAGGACAGTTTGAGGAATCGCAGAGGGAAAGGAGGTGGGGCAGGAAGACATTAACTAAATAATTTATATACATATACGCTTAACCCACGGACAGACAATACTGCAGTGA